CCAAAATTCTTGGTATCCATGTTGGAACTTTACTTTGAGCTCATCTTTAGTTGCGAGTTCTACGGGTTCCTCTACCAAATTCGGTGAATCTTTAGTATCTTCATTTGAAAAGAATGTAAAACCCAACCCAACATGTTTAAAATCAACATGAAGAACCTCCAAGTGTTTGAAGTAAGGAAGTAAATCTTCATGTTTCACAGAGATCATCAGAGACTGTTGATAGTCTGGGAAAGTGTTTGTATTCACTTCTACCTAGTTTTCCCGTAAAAGCAGCTATGACGCTTTTTGATTTAATTTATTTCAACTCATCACCTTGCAATTGTAAATTAACTTCATTAAATATTTTAAACAGGTCTGACACATATGCCATGTATTTTTTTTAATTTTAGAATCAAGTTATCTCGGAATTTTTCATCTCTGTCCTCAAGAAAGTCAAATACCTAGATTGAAAAAACGATTCAGATAAGCACCGTTAGAGAGCCATCGCGCAACGTACTTCTGTGTGAAGCAATAAACGATTGCAATCTTCATCATTTTTACTATAAAGCGAGCATTCAATGAATTGCTTCTAATCTTATTTGTAGGATAGTAGAGCTTCGTTTTTTGGTAGAGTTGATTCATCGAGTTTAATGGAAAATTTGCACGCCTTTAACATAATTATATCTTTTGCTATTTTATCTATTCTCTTTGCAATAAATGAATCGAAAAGAATCGAAAAGAATCGAAAAGAATCGAAAAGAATCGAAAAGAATCGAAAAGAATCGAAAAGAATCGAAAAGAATCGAAAAGAATCGAAAAGAATCGAAAAGAATCGAAAAGAATCGAAAAGAATCGAAAAGAATCGAAAAGAATCGAAAAGAATCGAAAAGAATCGAAAAGAATCGAAAAGAATCGAAAAGAATCGAAAAGAATCGAAAAGAATCGAAAAGAATCGAAAAGAATCGAAAAGAATCGAAAAGAATCGAAAAGAATCGAAAAGAATCGAAAAGAATCGAAAAGAATCGAAAAGAATCGAAAAGAATCGAAAAGAATCGAAAAGAATCGAAAAGAATCGAAAAGAATCGAAAAGAATCGAAAAGAATCGAAAAGAATCGAAAAGAATCGAAAAGAATCGAAAAGAATCGAAAAGAATCGAAAAGAATCGAAAAGAATCGAAAAGAATCGAAAAGAATCGAAAAGAATCGAAAAGAATCGAAAAGAATCGAAAAGAATCGAAAAGAATCGAAAAGAATCGAAAAGAATCGAAAAGAATCGAAAAGAATCGAAAAGAATCGAAAAGAATCGAAAAGAATCGAAAAGAATCGAAAAGAATCGAAAAGAATCGAAAAGAATCGAAAAGAATCGAAAAGAATCGAAAAGAATCGAAAAGAATCGAAAAGAATCGAAAAGAATCGAAAAGAATCGAAAAGAATCGAAAAGAATCGAAAAGAATCGAAAAGAATCGAAAAGAATCGAAAAGAATCGAAAAGAATCGAAAAGAATCGAAAAGAATCGAAAAGAATCGAAAAGAATCGAAAAGAATCGAAAAGAATCGAAAAGAATCGAAAAGAATCGAAAAGAATCGAAAAGAATCGAAAAGAATCGAAAAGAATCGAAAAGAATCGAAAAGAATCGAAAAGAATCGAAAAGAAACGAAAAGAAATACTAATGAAAAAGTCAGGTTAAGAAGCTTTGTTGTTTTCGCCAAGCATCGGTCATTTTTGTCCATTATGACAGGACATTGGATTTCCTAATTTTACCTAAAACCAAACCAACAAAATTTTTAGCGATTATTGCGCATGTAGAGTTATTTTTACGCACCTATCTGACCAGAGTAAAGAATGTAAACTCTGTGTTAAATTTTAGCCGACTCGTGAACGACTTCCGCGAGTGTGTAAACAAGTGATGCATAATAAAAGGTTTAATTCAACTCAGGGTGAATCGAGTAAGCGTCATGAACGTAACCCATGTATCGCTTTTGCTTGTCCCACATACTTTGATTACTATACTCTACTAAAGATACCTATAAAATATTTTGCTGAATATCCGAATTCTTCTACATCCTTGGGATATAGACGGACATATTGGATATCCACAGAATATATTCTGTGGATATCTCTGGGATTTCTTGTATTGTCTGGAAGATACTCATTAGATATTTTGCTGGATATCCATATGATATCTTCTATATTCTGAATATAGACGGACATTTGGATATCCATATTAGATCCACGAAATATTTCTGATATCGTGTGGATATATTGGATATCCACAAAAGATATTCTGTGGATATCTCTGGGATTTGGTGTGTTGTCTGGATGTTTTCCTCGTAGTTTTTTGTACTTTTATATACCGAATTATGCAATTTGTTTCCATTTTATTTTATGTGAAAATTATCTCTGAAACTGCATTGTGGCTGCACTCATCTCAAAACTGAATGCTGTAAATCCAGGATTTAAATCTTTCATAGTGCTGCTTGGGATAAATTGTAAAAAAGGTGTTGGACAAAACGTTTGCAACCTAAAATTGCATGGAAAACTAGAAGAAGGAATTTTACCTTTATGGCATTCTCTTTCAACATTTTTAAGTGACTAAGTTTGTGGTTTGGTGAATGGACTCAGTTACCACAGTCAAAAAATTCAATTTAAAAAAAGTGACTAAGTTCTAATAAGAATACATACAAGTTGAATATGAAAATGTAATTACTTGATTTAAATGTGATTTAATTAAGAGCTAAATAGATGTTTCACAATAAACAAAGTGCTGTAAAATGTTGATTATCATCAATAGAATATTTTGTAGCAGCTGGTCTCTTTAAATAATAAACTTAAAAGACTGTGAATTAGTAGTCACTTTTACACTAGAGGTAAAAACAAAAAAAATGTGTGGTTGAGACTAATTTATTATTTTTTTTTTATTTGGTGTACGGCTTCAACATCTAAAGTCATTAGCCTAGTGTTCTATGTAGGTTATGGATTGTATTAGTAGTCTAATACTCCATAGTACAGGAGTATTAGTACTCTAATACTCCTATACCCCTACATACAGGCCTTGTTACTGTTTCCTTGCGCCACTTTAGGAACAGCACTGTTAATTAGAACCCAACAGTGAATGGTCGAGTGGGGAATCCTACCAAGGCATCAGAATTAATTTTAAATAATTAAATTAAATAAAAAAATCCCGGCCAACTGTGGGATTCGAACCTGGGACCCTTGGATCCACAGGCAGAGACTCTACCACTGAGCCACCCACCCCCGAGACTAATTTATGTATTTAATAAAAACATATATTTAACATGTTTTATTTAAATAAAAAACAGGTGTTATTTTAATAAAAAAAAAACAGGTGTTATTTGAAATGTTTTATTTTAGTTTAATAATATTTATAAATTGTGAGTACATTTGATCCGAATCTTGCTTAATACTATAAAATGCATATTATGCATTTCTATAATGTAATATGGTTAGTATTGGAGTAGAAGCACAAAAGTTTTGACCAAAAATATATTCTTTAAATACAATATTCACTAGATATGCTAATTTAGGGAATTTCCTATTCGAAGCCATACATGTTTCCTATTATAGTTTTCATACGTTTATAATTCTGGAGATACTGAAATATTTTGCTTGATAACTAAACTTTGTACCTACCTCTGTTGTAAAGGTATTTCAAAGCCATCCTTTGTAAGATGTAGCCAACAAATACATCCCCATCTGTAAGAAAATTGTCTTTATCTCTTCAATTACCTTTTAAAATAAACCAAAACAGCACAAAATTTAAAGTGATCTACTTTTGACGACGTATTCTATGTACATGCGAGATTATTAATAATTTATTATATTAAAGCATTTTAACCTAAAAAATATGGGCATTTTATAATGAAAATGTCATTTAAAAAAAACATTGATTTTTTCTTATATTGGCAAGCCTGGCGACACAGGTTGCCAGATCAATGGGCGACTACTATTTCTAAAAAAAATGGCGTCCAAAATGGACTCCTATGTCGCGACCCCCTTAGATATACCAGTCCTGTTTTCTATCTCCTTTTAAAAGGCACTCAGAAAGCTGCGCAGTGCGACCATTCTCCATATAGTAACAGAAAATCAAAGTATGTGGCTTGTCCTATCATGACGTCGCACTGAGCCAATAGGCACACGATATTTCAAAATACAGTACTCTCCAAAATTAACGCATCACCTTAAATGTACCATAAGTTTGAAGCTATTTTGGGCAAGATTGTCAAGCAAAGTTTATGAAAATGGCTGGGAAGCTCAAAACGAGCAGCAGCTGCGGCGTAGGCTATTCCAAAAAATTAGGGAGTTTGATGTTGAAGAGTGCCAATCCCTAATGAGATGCGTCAGAACAAAACTGCGCCATATCGAAGAAAATGGACCCCTCTAGCGGTGCTGTAGTAGTTTTTATTTATTGTTAAGGAACCATTTTGTACGTAGTATTATGAGGGATACATAAATTTTTAAAATATTTTTTTGTCTTTAATTTTTTTCCCACCCGTTAATAGATTGACATTATTTTCACTCGATTTTAAAATTTCAAAAACTTAATAAAAAGAAAAATAAAAATGCACAGCCTATCAGAATTTCTAGCAAATATATTAAAAAAACTGAAATATTCTTAATTTTTTTGTTATCATTTTAAAAGAATCAGTAAAATTTTTTAGAATTAAAAGATTTTTAAATTTTCAACTTACGTATATTACTCTACTAATTCTACTGCTAAAATTTAGCCCTTGGAGTAGAATAAGATAGTTTGTTGGTAATTAAGTTTCCCCATCTTGGCTAAAAAGTAGGCGAAGTTACTTTACCTTTTACTCTCCTAATGAAAACTAAACATCAAAATAAGACCAACCGTTTATTTTTCGTTCTTAATAAAATGTGCTTCCTCTATTAGAAAAGTGATCTAATCATTTCTGTAAATGGATCTTTTAAAGGTCTAGGAAAACGGTCTGCAGGATTAAAAGTTTTTGGAACCACCTAAATAACGACTTGAATAAGACTACGTTAAACGATTACAGATATTTTATTTCCATACAACTTTCAGGTACTATAAATGACATTGTTATTTTATTTTTCTTCTGTTAGTGGACCTTACGACACCATTTTTTAATCTCTATCTTCCTGTGTCATCATTCCAGCATTTTCATAGTATTCACTAAGTGTTTTCCAATATTCTTTAAAAACTTTTCCACCCACCTCCAGCAAAGTCATATCTTTACGTCGAAAATTGGTCATTGGACTAGCCAATATATGTATGACGCCATTAGTGCATTCGTAATCAGGTCTAATTATCTTGATGTACCTGTTGTTCCATCTCAAATAGTAATCTCCTTTTATAATTAAGACCATTATTCTTAAGGGCCCTCCTTTCGTCTGCAACTCTATGTCAGTAAACTTGTTTGCTTTGGTCAAAGATACCAGTTGTTCCACTGAATATGGAGATTCTGATATTATTAAATGTCTACCTAAAATAAATGGTAATGATTAGAAATCAATATCGTCTAGCTTTTGCAACTAAAATGTAATATCTAAAGCCTAATTCACGAAGCATCTTAAAATTTATCCTTATGTAAATCATTATAATGAATATCCGATAGAGTTGGACGATATTTCACTAACTTAGTTATTACACATGTTTTTCTATCGATTTCTGGAATGATTTCCCGAAAAAAATGATTAATGATTTGAGGAAACATAACCTCATTTTTTTGAATTTTAATAATCACAGTAACGACTCAATATTCATCGATGCCATTTAAATTTCATCAAAACTGTTCCATCAAAATTTTTTAGATGAGTCATACATCATATTCTTAAATTCAACCTAATTCTCAGATGGTTGTCACCAGATCCATCAACTCTATTATGTTGAGCTAATTACCCACTTAAAAAGCCGAAATCCGTTTTTAAAAAATTTTTTATTAATTGTTAAGTTACAAAAAAATATTATATGTGCAATATATGACTTAACTATAAAAATGGTAGATAATGAATGACGCGGGGTTTCATGCACTTTGCCCAGGGACCTCCGGCTAAGCAAACTGCAAGCATGGCAGTTTGAGCTGAAATTCCTGCAATGTCATCAGAAGGGCTGATATGACTCCTCCCACCGAAGTTTCAACTCACGAGGGTAGATGAAGGAGTTGAATGGATGGTGGTGATGGCATCACTGGACCTTAGGATGTTGATGTCTTCTTCCAGGGGTGAAACTTCTTGTGGGCAAAGGCTGCGATTGCTCCCGCCATCATAATGTAGATGACTATGGTCCACACGCTGGGTATATGGGATATACCAGTTATCCAAAACAAGGTATAGTTTTCTGTAGCTTGGTGTAGAATATCTAACAGCTGATCTAACTTGATATCTTCTAAGGGCACTCCTGGTTTTAGGGATGGCAGTGTGTCGTTCGTGATTTGAATTTCAGGAAGAACTATTGGTTGGCTATTGGCTATTAACTTTTCATTGACAAGCGTCTCTAGTGGTGATTGAATTTGACATCCTATTGGAATTTCGATTAAAAACGTTCCTTTTAACTTTCTGACCTCTTGTTGTTCGTTGCAGGTAATCTTTAGGACTTCCTCGTTTGGAAATACACCTATCCAGTTATTGGTGTTTCCCAATTGATTAAATTTTGAGTTTGATAGAGAAAAATGAATTTGCTTGCATCGTGAGGTGTTTTTTATATCCAAAACAAGAAGCTCACAGGGCGTAAGGCTGCTAATTTCTTCTATTTCTTGTTTGTCGCAAACGTAATTTTTGAGGGGAGTTTTGATGTAATTGTTTTGAAAAGTAAAGTTTAACTGACTTTTTAACATGAATTTATTTCTGGGAATGATTACCTTGAACTGACCCTAATGAGGGACGGGTAGTGAATATAAATGATAAATATTGAAGATATCTGAGTAAGTTATAGAGATATTAAGAATATAGGTTATTTTATTTTTATAAATGTAGCATTCAATTTTTATTATAGATTCGTATAATTGTGTAGTTTCTAAAGTAATTTCAAAAGGAAGTTGTAATTTTGCAATTTTATTTTCTATTGATTTTAGAGCTAAAAAGAGATCTGTTGTTTTCATTATACTAGGATGCATTATTTTTATTCTTGCAAAAGTTAAAGAGTTTTCTATATCCTGTAATATTGAAAGAATTATTTCGTACATGTTCAAAATTTGATTTATCACATCTTTAATAAATAGTGAATTTTCTCTGTAAATTACTAAATTAACGATTAATTTAATTTGCTCTATTTTTTAATCTAATAACTTTTCATTATAACTAATTTTCTGAATAGTAGCATTAAAAGTTTTTATTGTATTGACAGAAAGTAAAATTTGTGAATTTAAGTTGGACGCTAATAATTGTTCTTGATTTTTCTGCAGATTATCTATTAAATTTTCATATCTCTCGCCATCTGAGGCATCTAAGTTGCCTGTAATACATTTAAAAACTGAACCTAGCCCATTAATTAGACCTCTCTTGGAACGTTGTGGTTTTGGAATAATGTTAAATAGTTTTGTATCCACTTTATCGATTGTAAATTCTAATATTTTTATGTAATTAGAGATATCCCACGAATAATTTTGATTTTCATTTACCGCATATAGAATTTAAAACTATAAAAGGGTAATTTCTTATTAAATTTGGAAATACATTTTGAGCGATAGTTGGATCGAGAAAAGATTTCGAAGAACCAGAGTCAACCGGAAGCTTAATATTATGCTCTGGGAATATAATATGAGGTAGTTCATTACACTCTACTGTGTTGAGAGTAATAGTCAAGGGGCTTACGTTATTTGATCTTGTCTGGCGGGCACATGAAAATTTAAATTTTGTTCATCGAAAAAATATTAATTTTCTATCAAACTTTCACTTTCTATATTATTATCATCACACGGATCAACCTAATTAGTTTCGGTATTGAATATTTCCTGAGCGCTATTATTTTGCTGTGGCCTGTAACCTGATGGTCCAGCTTGAAAAAATTTGTTATTATTTCCATAATTATTATTTTGTTGAGAATTGGGTCTACCTGTGAAGCGCGTGTTAATACTCATAGGCGCTGGATTTGAGAATGATCTATTAGGATTTGGTTTGAATACGTTGACATTTCCTATGGAAGGCTGTCGAAAAACTTGTGCATTGTTGAAAAACTTTTGTGGTGGCATATTTTGCCTTGGCTGGACGGGTACCGGTCCAGTGGGGAACTGATTGTTAGAATTGTTAAAATTTTGATTAGGAACGAAATTGCTAAAGTTATTATTATTATTAAAATTTCTATTAAAATTGTTATTGGAATTAAAATTTATGTTTAAATTTTGTTGACCAGGTCTATTTTGCGAATTATTTGACCTTTGAAAATTTTTAGTTGTTACAATTCTGATTTTTATCTGATGAAAATTATTTAAGAACGTCTGACATTTGTGATTCTGTAATCTTAACTGTCAACCTGTCTTTATTTACTAAAAACAAACAATAATGCCATAATTGAAAAAATATGTGCTTGTCTTCATTTGCTTGCTCTATATCTAATGCTGACAATCTTATTTTAAAAGTTAGCCCACTTAGAGTTTTGTTTAATAAAACCCAGTGAGTTTCTTTATTCATATTATTAAGAATTTTGAGCAAACTTTTCCTATTTCCTTATCTGCTTTATATTAATTAATAATTTAAGGTTATGTCACGTAATCCATCAGTGCATCAACATAATCGAGTTGATGGATTTGGTAACAACTATCTGAGAATTAGGTTGAATTTAAAAATATGATGTATGACTCATCTAAAAAAATTTGATGGATAGAAGAAAAGTTTTGATGAAATCTAGATGGCATCGACGAATATTAGAGAACGCCTAACCTTAAATTATTAAATATTATTAAACAGATAAGGAAATAGGGAAAGTTCGTTCAAAATTCTCAATAACATGAATTAAGAAACTCACTGGATTTTATTAACTCAATCTCCAAATGGGCTATATTTTAAGATAAGATTGTCAGCGTTAGGTATACAGAAAGCAAATGAAGTCAAGTACATATTTTTTAAATTATAGCATTACTACCCACACTTGTCTTTAATTTTTATGCTTATCGAAAAGTTTGTTACATTAAATAAAACAGTTTGAAAGTTAAGATTTTAAAATCTCAAATGTCAGTCGTTCTTAAGTAATTTTCATCAGATAAAAATCATTTCATTAGACCATCATTTTTTTGAATATTAGAAAACGCCTCATCTAAACCTACTTTTTCTCTAAATTGACGTTTCTGGCTTTATCTATCTATTTATACGTAACTATTATAATAAAAATAAATGATAATTACTCAAGATATCTAAGTCTTTTTCAACAGGTTCTAAATCATCGTTCTGAGTCAATGTCCAAGCTGAATCGTTTGGCACGAAATATGTAAAACTTAAGTTCTCCTTCGTAAAAATTTTATTGAATCCAGTTTTTTGGCCCATATTGTAGAATACATCATTCTCCGGATTTGAGCTAAGTTTCTCTAATACTGATACATATGGAAAAGGTTTTAAATGCCTCTTGTAGATGCCTAAAGGCTGCGATATTAGATGTACTACGCCATTGTTTACTGGAATATTAGGTACTATTATCTAAAAAAAGATGTACTAGAACTACAGCCTCTGATGTTTTATGTATATTATTGATGTTATCACCAAATAAAAGTCTGACGTAATTTTGGTTCCACTGACAGTTAATTCTAACCATACTTCTAACAATATTCAACATACGTTTTTAATGTTTTTACTTTTTTATAAAATATTATTTGCAGGTCATAAAAAGTACCTTAAAGGTATGGAATTAGTTACTAAATGATTATATACTTGATGCATTTTATCTACTTACTGTAAGAATATATTCATAACAGATCAAAAGCAATATAATATAGATAAACAAAACGAACAAAACTAACTCAAAAAAAATTGCCACTTTAATTGTCAGTGGAACTAAAATTACATCATCACTAATTTAGCGTATAGTTCTGCTTAAAGTATAGAAATAATACATTCTTACCTCGGAAAAAAACTCCCCCTCTCCAAAACTACCCTTCATAAGCCCTTTAATATACATTTTTCCGTATTTTTCTTCAAAAGATAAAACAATATAGACATCTTCATCGTTCGCCAAAGATTCAAACGCAACATTCTCTGGAGTAGGCTTGGTAAACAGTACATAAAATGGTATGACGTGTCCAAAAATTATGTTCTTGTTGATCATTTTAAATTTATAAGGATCTATGCCGGAATCCAAAGGTATGAAATACGTATGACCCGCATTCTGTTTGAAAATGTATTGAAGTTTCGTTTCTTGAACTTTGGTTAAAAAATTCGAGACTGTCTTGGCAGCGCCTAGATTCCAATTTGTTATTGATTGCAAAAAATCGTAAGCGCTTGGTGAGGATTGTGAAGATGTTATTATTGGATCCAAAACCGAGTCTATCACATGAAGAACCTAAAACATTATATTTAACCATATTGTAATGCGAGCCATTTCGTTATTTCATGCTCTAATCCTCCAAGTCCCTCTCTGTCTTATTTAGCCTTTGAGGCTCAACTTGTCCGACTATCATACATAATTAAACCCCCCAAGTAACATTTTTAAGAGAATAAAGTTTTATTTATGTTTTATTAGGATTTTGTAAAAGCATAAAAATTAACAATTATTTTATTACAGTTACTTTTTTTGCTAATAGTACTACAGGATAAATTGATCTTATTACTTGGTTTTATAGATTCCTTTAAATCTGTTTAAGAAAACTAGTTTATCCTAAAGTAAACTATGCTTTATCGCTGTCCTGTAAGGATTAATGATTAAGTAATTTTAAAACTATTTAGTTTTAAGATACTCCTAAGGTGTGTTTGGTGTTAAAGAGGCATACTTTTTAGCAGTTATCTTAAGTAGGTTTTAAAACTACAATTTTACAACATAACTCTTATAATTTATTTAATCTAGTAAACCATAGGGCTCTTTTAAAACTACATAGGTTTAATAAGAATTAAAGTTTGTTTTAGAGCATAACCTAGCTTTTCAACCCAATCACATTATGTTGACGTTGAAAGATAAATTGTTCAAAATAAAGAAAAGTGGTTTAATAAAATTCTTAATATACTCTTACGGACTTTGTCTTAAGTCTAATTAGTCTTAAGATATTGTTTTAAAAATACTCCTAAAAATCATTATAGGATTCTCCCTTTTATTCTTAAAGCAGATTTATAGCAGCCCTAAGGCTATCTCGCTGATTCAAAAGTTTTATCAGTGTCTTAAAAAAAGGGTTTTATGGTTACCTTGTATACTTTGATAAATCTAAAAATGTTACTTGGGCCCTTAAGACCAAACATATGTGACGACTATGGCGAAGGTGCTTTCGATTACTATTCGAAAATGAACGGGATAATGTTACTAGTTTTGGCGAGAACTTTCTAGAACCTTCACCAGAATTTTAAGTGTGTATATAAATATTGGTGGAAGAACACGGAGCAGAAGAACAAACAGTTGTGAAGATAAATAGTGAACAATTTGAAGACATTCGAAATATATATATTAATTAGAATAGTATTGTTATAAAATAAATAAGTGTTCAAATAAATTATTAATAAATAAACTGTTGTTTAAAATAAACAAACATCACAATACACTTGTAGATTTTGTATTTAAACGGATTGAGTGGTTAGAAGTTTAAGGGAAAACTCTGTATAAAAATAATCTGCCACGAATACGTATCCTTACAATATACGGACTTTAATAAGAAACTTTTGAACATCACAAATACGAGAGCTATAAAAAAAGGAGTAATCAACGACATTTTTCTATTATAATTACCCATTAGATATATAGACAGCATTTGAAAATGTTTTAGTAGAAATATGATTTTCCATCAGAATAGCCAGACATTTGGATAGTCGGTATACTATCCAGCTAGTCTATAAACTAGCCAAGTAAATACTTTTAATATATAAAATCTTGCCTCAATTCACTTAAATAATAAAGAATTTACTTTTGTTTTATTTTGGCTTACTTTTTTAGACATTATTTTCACATACTCTGTATTAGAATTTGTTGGTTTACTAAGTCTATAGATAGTTTTTTGCGAAATACTTAATACCTCTGCAGCCATTTGATTGTACCTCTTTCCAAGAGCCTCGCAAATAGATTTGTGTCTCTTAAACAAATATACAAAAATTGTGAGTATTTCCCTAAGATTCTGAACTAATTTACTTTTACTGAAATATGTAACTACTAAACTATGGAGTTTTTAGTATCTAAAATTATAGATAGCCATTCAAATATAATCGTAAATAATTCCTAAATTTACCTGTTCTTTTCCAGAATCTCCTGTCCTACTTCTGGTAATGTAATTGGATTTTTCTGGAATGATTTTGGCATTGTTAATAAAAATATCGCGATCTCTTCTTGATATCCACAAAGGGGGGTTCTCCAAAATAACTGATGATAAAGAATTTGTCTTGTTGAGCAAATCAAGCGTTTTGTATTCGTAGCTCATGTGATAGAAAATCAAGTCGCTTCTGTATTTTGCTGAAAAGATTGATCCATTAAACTTTAAATAGTGCTGGTAATCTAGAAGTTATTTATGTGATCATTTAGATAGGTACTTTGCTAAATTCACTGCCGAATTAATCTTCAAACACTTAAAACTTGTCGTTTCATGACTTTTTAGACTGACCCGTATATTTATACAGTTAAAAACGATTACATACTTCAAATTTAACAAATACAATATTAGACAGAAAAAAATATAGGAGAAGTAGATGGACAATACAGGTTGAGTGGAAGAGGCGACTTACCCTTGCCTAGACTAGATCTCTATCTTTTGGTAAATATTTCATTATATTTCTTTGTATTTTGTTTTTTCTACTTTACCAATAAAAACTTTTATTATTACATAGAGGAATTACTACAAGTGAATCATTACATCTGAAGAAAACTAGGTCTTATTATGCCCATTGTGCATCATCCTGAATCGATGAGGCATCGCTTAGCTTGTCAGCCAGCCTGCAGATTTAATGTAGTTGACAAACAACGTCGCCAAGAGGTAACCTCTATTATATCGACCGGTGTTAGCCAATACTCGCCGAACACAAATTTAATTGTTGAGAGAGTCGGGCAATCGTAGAGGATATGCTCGATAGTCTCATCTTCTTGTTAATGATATGCTAGCAATGTTAATGGCAAGATTTGATGAGTAAAAGCAGTTAATAAACAATTTTGCAGAGAGAATAACAAAACTTGAGAGAGGTAACAACGGAGCTACAACAAACTTACAAAAATTAATAGAAGTAACATTAGAATAGCTACATGGAATACTACTAGCATAATCTAGAGGAAGGATGAGCTAGAATCATTTCTTAACCTAGACGATGTGTGTCAATATATGAGACGCACTTAATCACACAAATGTACATAAAAAAAGGTTATAAAACTTATCACCCTCAAAACGCAACAAGATGCGGAAGTGGTGTAATTAATAAAGAAAACATAAAACAATATAAAGAATCAAAATATGAAACCGAACCAATTCAAGCAGCCATGGTGGTAATCACAAGTGGAATAAACATTTTTACTAACTCAGCAGTGTATTCACAACCTCGGGAGTAAGCTATGACTAAACCAGGCAAAAAGTTTTATCATAGTTTTGATCCTAATTTTAAGATTTATGCGCATCTCGTGCGTCGCAACTCGGGCGGAATCCTTAATTTTTCGCATTTCGGGCGGAAGGCTACAGGTAGATTAAATACCCTTCGCAACTCGGGCGTTCAAGGATCGGTACCTGAGAAGGTGCTTTCGGCTTAAACTTAAAATTATATACAGAGTGCCGTACAGGAGGAGCTTGCCAGTTTTTAAATATTATGTAACTTTCATAAAACAAGATTTTTTATTTATCTTTCTGTGCGAACATAATCTTTACATTACATTGTTATGACATTTGAAATTGTAGTTTTTACTGAAAAAAGTGTAATTTATTTATTATATAATTAGATTGATAAATAATAGTGTACCTACCTCGGCTAGCTAATCAATTTTTATTTTAATACATTTTTTATGTAGGGTGTCTGTGTAAGTTGGCTACATATGGAAAACTTTTTTTTATTAGTTTTATCAAAAAAAAAATATTTAGCATAAAGAGTTGTGGATGGTCTAAAACCTAAAATACATCACATTTTTGAGCCGTATACTAGGATAGTATATGGAAAACTTTTTTTTATTAATAATTTTATGAAAAAAATGTCCTCATAAAAAATTGTGCGTGATCTCAGACCTTAAAATACAACCATCATATATCAAATTGTATAAGTCGTATACGAGGTTTGTCAAAAATGAATGTACTTTACTCTTGGCCAAAAATATTTTTTTTGACAAATCGTATACGACTCATAAAAATTGATATCTAATGGGTGCATATAAGGTTTTAGACGTTTAGTTTATTTTTTAAACTAAATATATACGTTATTTGAATATTAATTATTTAACTATATTTTAATATTATATTTAAACGTTGTTATGTAACTAAAAGTTAATCATTTTGTTAAATATATATATGTAAAATATTATTGTATTTCAACCTTTTTAACGTTTGGTTAATAATGTAAACCAAATATCTACGTTAATTTAATATTAATTATTCTAGTTTATTTTAATATTCTTTTTAAATGTTATTATGTAATTGTGGTTTAACCGAAAGTTGGATATTATGATACATACACGTTTAATATTAACGTTTCTTTAAATTACATAAAACTCGTAATAAAAACGTTATTGTATCGAAACACTTTGACGTTTTGTTTATATTTTACCTAAAAATATTAATTATTCTACTTTATTGAAATCATATTTTTAAACATTTTCATTGATTATACTTGAAACATTAAGTTGGTTTATGTTTGTTATGTTGTAAATGGCCAAGATTTGAAAATTTTCTCATTTGTAAGAAGAGAAAGAAGATGGGTTATGTTGTAGTCATTTTATTTTAAGTACTATAATTTTATATTAGAGAAAACCATATATTCTAAATAATTGGAAGTTTGCGTCTGTTGTTTGAGACATTTCTGAAATATCAGTATGTTATATTTCTGATAGGTTTCAAATTATTATTTATAAAATATATGAAATATTACATTTACAGGATATTTTTACAATTTAGGAATGTTTTAGAAATGTTTCTGAGGCGTTTCGTAATATTTATATATTATTTTATCATATTCATGATTTCCTTAAAATGGTCCGTATTCGAGAATTTTGACAAAAAGTACAAAAATCGAATTTTAAAGAAAATTCTTCAAATAAAAGTTGCTTACAATGTAATTCTCTACAATTTTTGTTCCATACATTTCTCTAAAATAGACCGAATTCGGGAAATTTGAGGTAAAGTGCAAAATTCGAATTTTTCTCATTTTCACTTATAATACCCCTAGTGACCAAATTATTTTCGGAAATATTTTAGAAATCGCCAATAATTTGAAAATGATCCCAATATCATGCTCTATATTTTTTATTCTACACATGATTTCTCTAAAATAAACCGTAATGGATAAATCTTCAATTTTTTTACATTAACTAACTTTTCAATGCTCGCTATCTGTTAAAATGAAAGCTTATTCTGCGATGTCATTTATTTCTCTTAAATTTTCGATAATGCATTACTACCTGAATCAGATTGTAATCAGAATCAGGGTACATAAACTATGGTCAAATTTCATATCCCGTCGACGCCCGAGTTGCGAACTCACAGGTGCACAATTTTGGAGGGCGCCCGAGATGCGACGAATTCAGGTAGTTTTATATTACGCCCGAGTTGCGAACGCACGAGTTGAGAAAGTACCAATTTTAACCTACAGATTATTCATCTCAGTCATTCACAACTAATAACAAAGTGTATATTGTCAGTGTTCATCTATAACAGAACACAAAAACTAAAAATCAGTGTAACCAATACATAATCCAGTTGTCATGGCGGCCAGCATGAAGGGGGTAATTTTATTGTATTGACAGCATACTTATAGCGGCATCTAGACATTCTGAGAGCTATGTATCTACTATTCTGAATCGAAAATAATTTACACAGTTTCTTGTGTTTTTCCCAATAAGTTTTTGTAGGACTATATATAGTCTTTCTAGACACAATCCAACACGGCAGAATAACCGATTAGTACCGAATTTAAAGGGACCGCGCATATTATTAAAATTAAGTAAATTAAATTAATAATTATGTATAGTTCTTCCGAACTCTTACCGACAATTTTGTTTGATCTATCACAGGCGTAGATACCTCATTTTAAAAATTTCATATTTTTATAAATACGAGAAAGTATTCGTTAAAAGGCGATCGAATGATTATAAATTGGACGGCGTTATACCCGTTATTTAGATAGATGCACTTAATTGTAGTCCTACTTAAAACTTAAAAAATCTATAGCTCGTTAATTTGCTACAACTGAATATTAAATTATAAAACGTAAATAGACGAGTAAAATATACGTGCCTGTAAGGGCGTTTGGTTCAAACAGGGTACCAGACGTAAACTGACCCCTTTTTGTAATTCGTTTTTTTTTTCGGAAAACGAAATTTCAAAGCAAAAACCATAAAGGAAAATAAATTCTTTGCAAATAAAACAAAAGTATAAAATAATTTAGAATAATCAATTTTTTAAAAGAAATAAATGAATACGAACTAATAAAATGTTAACAATGAATTAATTTGATGACTCTCGGATTACCAATAATGAAAAATAAGAAAGTTATTTCGAATCTAAATCTGAACCATCTGTCGAGGAATCGAGGTTTGGATATATAACTACTGGAGCTATAGAAAGTAAAATATGATATTCTTTTTCCTTTTTAGAACGTGACTAATGCAATTTTTCCAAACGTCAGTCAAAGACGGATCTTTAAAAACGCCATTACTATTTTCCAAATCACATTTGTTAAGGTAGGTGCAAAATTATTACGTCTCAGTTTTTGTTTAACTGAAGACCAAACTAATTTGCAAAATTATCAATATAATACTGCATTGGAATATTCTTACTTTAACAATTTCTAACAATTGTGGTTTTGGTTTTACGGAAGCAGGACTATCAATGTTATTATCTTTGAATACATTGATATATCTGATTTCTTAGAGTCACTACTTGGCTTCTTGTGAATTTGCCGGGAATGATATGGCGTATTGTCCATTACAATGACTGAATTAGTTGGAATATTCGGTAAAAGTTGTTCAGCAAAACAGTTCTTAAAAACTGCTGCATTCTTATCTTCATGATAAACCAGCTGAGCTTTATTGGCATATTTTGCTGAAAGTAGTGAAGCGTTTGCTACAAAGCCATTTTCATTTCCGGCATGTTAAATTATGACTCTAGCATCTACATCTACCTCAAAAGGTCTCCAGAAAGCATCTCGTATAACACAAATCAAAATTTAACAGAAACACCGAAACATAAAAACAAGTTTATTACAAAAGCTAAACAACTAAAGCAGCCAGGCGAGCCAACAATTCTAGCCGCTCACTTGTGGACTTAACATCAACTGTAGGTGCGTAGATGTTTAAAACTTAAGTGTGCCACATCAGAGGGTATAACAAGACGGTTCATGCTCATTTGCAATGTGAGGGTATAGAATTTGTAGCATTCGCATTGCATGTAACGCGAATTATTACGCAATCCCGGTACAAACGCCTATATTGGATGGAGAAACAACATATTACATTCAAAACTATTTATGTCTTGATTTCTGAGTGGTACCATATTCTTTAACAGCAATTTATTTGATATAGCTTCCAAGAACATTAGGCAAGCGTCAGATATTTTATTTATAGAAAAATTAGCATTATTTCTTACCCATATTTAAGGAAACCCCAATTACTTAACTTTTTTTTATATTTTAAAACATTTATTCTAATGGTCAAGAGGCCCTGCAAGCCAGATATCGTGAGTTCGATTCCCACGTGGAATTTTTGCCAATTTTTTTTGTTATGTTTCACCCTCCTTGTTCAGGAATGTATTCCCGAATTTTCCTTCCCTATTTAAAATTATAATAGGCTTAAAGATTATTAATGCTTACCTTGTGAATGACGAAACGCTGCATTTTCAGGAACAAAAATCGTCAGTTGTTCGTAATGAAGTTTCAGCCTGGCCTCTCTGTTGTTATTTAAAATGCGGGTATTGAATTCGGTATACGGTGATTCTTGTTGGATTTTTTGATTGAGAGTCTTGTATCTAACAATTATATTTTATTAATTATTTAACACTACAATGCATCAGCCGATGACAATCCACTTTTATTCTAAACTCACGCCAACCGATGAGAATCCTCTTTTATTCTAACACACGCCAATCAAATCAAACTATTCGGAAACACTCAATGGTGCAGTGTTTTCATTCAATCCCACGAAATGGTCAATATGAAGTTTGTCAAAAATGGGCAAAAATCGTTTTGGTTGTTCAAAAAAATATATTATAACTAAATGATTGACATTACTTTCGACTTTAACTTACGGAAACAAAGCAAAAATATTGTTTATAAAAGTTCTGAGAAGCGATCACGCAGCTAACAGGAGATCTAGCGCGCAAGTTTTAGCGAGTCATTCTCCAACCTTCTGTCTGTTACTAAGGTTTAAGCTCAAGCGATTTTAACTATATTTTGTAAAATGATTTATTATGCTAAAATAAAAATGTGCTATTTTTGAAATTTTTTGACGCACTTTGTTCCCTACCTGCCGGCAAATACCGGAGGTGGATAAAATTTAAAATAATGTGGTGCTAAGTTTTTAAAAGCAAGTGTGTTTTTAAGTTCACAAATACATAGTTAATGTACATATGTAAATACTCAAAGTTTGTGTTAATTTCTTCAGCAGTTAATATAGGGCTTTAATAGTCATCAGAGTTTTATACTAACCACTGCAGGGAGGTAATGAGTTGAAACTACAGTTCAGCCGTACCAGCTTTAGGCTAATGTTCAAATGTATGATTCAAACCCGCACGTGTGATATTTACACTTGATAATATAATTCATGTATCACGTGACGCTGTTTCGATCAATAATAATAATAATAATAATAATAATAATAATAATAATACTCTCCCTAATTCACCCCCTTACGAGTGAATTTCAACCCCTGAAGTCGACTGAACGACTTGTGTAGGGGAAGAGACGGCTATTAATATTATTATTATTATTTGCCGTGGCGCTCCGGGGCGACCTAAAGATGATTGATGGTGCCATTTGACTTACAGGTGAGGAAAACCCGGAAAACCTCACCCACCATCATCGAGACGGTAATGCATGGCGATTTTTTAATCTGCATGTCATATCAACAGAAATTGAATTTCTATTAATACATTATTAATACATTCTATTAAACCGAACCATGCAATTTAATTAAAAATCCACATGGTCTGGTCTGGGATTCGACGCCCAGCAGTCTCAGACTCATAAACTTGCCTATAAATGAATATAGGCTTATGCGCGGTAGACCGATACACTACCGACCCGAGACAAGTACTGCATAGTGTCAGTGATGCAACTGTAATACGTTTTTCTTACAATAATGACAGATAAACTTATTTTAAAAATATTTTGATGATTAATATAAAGAATGATCCATAAAAAAGTAACCATGGCCTACAAAGATACGAGTCATGTCCGTGATAACTAGACACGGCTATCATAAGACTTATGCTAACATACGGTGCAGTTGTCTGGGTACCGAAAACTCAAAAATTGACAGCTATCCGCAAACTAGACCAAATTCAAAGAACAGCATGTCTTAACGTAACAGGAGCCATGAAAACCACACCGACCAAAGCCATGGAAGTCATTCTTAGTCTCACTTCCATTGATATTTACATCAAGAAGGTTGCTCTGATGACAATGGTTGGAGTAGAATCTGATGTGGGATCTGGTGAAGCGAGACATCGCTTTGGGCAGAAGGCATTCGATACGCTCCCGCTGCTTCAAACGAACATGGATTCCATCTCACCGAGATATATCTTCCATAAGCCATATAAAGTTATAACAAAATAAATAGAAGAGCCGAAAGTGGCAGGTAGTATTCATATCTACACCGACGCGCGACGGTTCTAAAACAAAACAAGGCTCAGAATGTCGAATATACTCCAGATCCTTAAACCTAAACATAAAATGGGCTGTGAGCAGAAGTGCCAGTAGTTCAAACCGAACTCACAGAGATTCTCATAGCAGCAAAAGAACTCACCAGAAATAATATCACTGGAAGAAACATGCACTACTCTCCCTGGACAGACCACGAATTTACTCAGGGTTAGTACTAAAATGTCACGTAGCTTTGCCGAAGTATCCATCAACAATGTGGTTAACTTAAGATTGATCAAAGGTCACGCCACATCAAAAGCTTACCTATTTGCTGATTTACTTGCCAAAAAGGCAGCCAACCAAATACTTTTTGGACCTGGCCCTTCTATTGGAATGATAACATCGATAGTGACAAACCTAATTGTAGAAAATTCCCTTGTGAAATTCAAGGAAAGATGGGATGAAACCAGAAGCTGCAGTCTTGCCAAGGAACTTTTAAGTTATCCTGAAAACACTACAGAAAACAAATACTTGACAATGACTAGACATAATCTGCGCCTGATCAAAGGCATTCTGACTGGTCATTGCCAAGTACGGAAGCATCTCCATATCATGGAGCTGTCAGAATCCGCACTCTGCAGGGGGTGCGAACAAGAAGATGAGACCATAGAGCATATCCTCTACCATTGCCTTAAATTAAATCCGCACTGACACTTAAAATAAAAAGAATTGTATCAAATATGTTCATAACGCCCACTATAAATATAGGGTGTTTCAATAACAACGCAATATTTGAATTGCTCGCCAGTTTTGCTGCCATAATGTCATTTGAGTATGATATTTTAAAAGGAGATAGAAAACTCCGCCATTTTGAACCCTTATTACGTGTTGCCTACATCTTGGCGCAATATTTCTAATAGGTGCGTTTTAATCATCCGCTTCTGCTTCGGAATTGTCGGTTTTCTTCTTTTAATCTGACAGGTTAAAACGACTAAACCGACAATTCCCGAAGCAGAAGCAGATGATTAAAACGCACCTGATATTTTGCTTGCTGCTGTCAGTGTCAGTGAATATTATTTTTGGAGTCACAGTTTATTGCTAAAGAATCAGTTAGTTCACTCGGACCAGTTGAAAGTTCCAAAATAACATCAACTCCAGGCATACAAATTCAGGATACGCAGAAGACTGCTGTTTTATTATAGGCGGTTGTCATATATTGTATTATCCGAGTTGTGCAGTGTATAAACTGGAACGTTGAGATCAAAAGTGCCGACGCAGAGTGAGCGATCTGATTCTTTAGCTATAAACTGTGTCATAGGAATCAAAATGGCCGCGCCCTATGTTGGGCGTGTCGGACCTCTCTCTTGCCCCGTATAGTAATCAAAGTATGTGATGATATTGCAGACAGATGGAAATTAGTAACCATGGTTTCAGCAGTACTTGCTATATTATTATGGCCCATGAAATATAGACGGTCTTGCACGAGTATTTCCTTAATCGTGTCATCTTCAAATTTGCCGATGTAAATTGGCCGTTATGCTCTTGCCATTGGCACCTTTGGACCTTTTGAATTTTCAGATGTCGGATTATCTGAAGTCATGCCAATAAGCATAAAGGCCGAGATTAGACACTGTATCAACGAGATACCGCCGCATATGTGGAACAAGGTTATTGAAGCTTTAACTGCGCACTCTGTATATTCAGTTAAAAAAGTTTTAAGTTAAAATAACTCGTACAAAAGTAATTTTTTTAAGTAAAAACGTAAAAAGTGGGAAAATGTCCATGCCTCCCCCCCCCTAATGAAATACTTATGATAGCAATAGAAAAATTGTTCCTACTGCTTTTAATTGGGCATAAAACATCTAGTGTTCGTACCAAGTGTGATATTTTAAAATGGCTGAATTCTGGAGATTAAAAAACCAGATATTTTTATTTAACTTATTTGACCTCTAGCGACCAAACAAAGCAAGTTTGGTTGAATCATCTTATTTTGAGCCCATAAATCTGTGGTAGCTCCATGTACATGCAATTTTCGGACACCCTGTATTTATATAAAACAGTTTAAAAAATAATCTTAATGGGGATTATATATCATTCTTGGTAGAAAAACGTATTATAGTTGGCAAGTATGCAGTACTCGTCTATTTTGTTAACTATAAGTGGTACCTGCTTGACATGCTGTGGTACGTGAGTGGTACATGAGTTACCATAAATGACTACGAAACAAAGTGAAAACTGCTTTGTAATGTACCATGTAATGTACCAAATTTTCCTTTAATAGAAAATTTTATACAAACTTGACGCCTGTTAAAATAGTCATTTTGATACTGTGATGAAGTTAGAATTTATATAGTAAAATGTAATAAAAAAAACTGTGCCATATAATTAAAATTGGCAAAGTTATTAAAATTGATAGTACACCTTTAAAGATATGAGTACAAATCAATTATTGGTAGCCTACTTGTATGAAACAATCTGAGACATCTAGTATATGGATGAACATAATAAAATATATTTCTAATTCCCAAAAACAAATAAATATAAACTTAATATTTAAACAGTGGTATGTTTAGTAAATTATTAGTCAATTAACAGTTTAAAGAACAAACAAATTTTTATGTATTTGCTTATTTATATGTATCCAAATTTATTTCAATAAACAAACCCATTAAAAAAAATATATTTTTCCTTACCTTTGAGGTAAAACATTTTGGCATAAATCTATCAAAACAACTACTAGAACTAAACATTTCATTTTCAATAATAAACCATTTGTTATGACTTTAGCTAATTTAGCTACTTTAATTATCAGAATTTGGACAAGGTTATGACCGGAATGACGAAAACATCTGTTCTGGTATTCATTCTATTCTGGAGCATATCCGCAACCAAAATAATATGCATTACATTTAATTCGCTGAAGTTGGATTATAAATGAGGAACTCAAATATGGGTCAACGCCAACACTTTTATCGCTAAGGAAATATTTTCTACATTTATTAGAAGGAATCGATGATGATTTAAAATTGTACACAATTCCAAATGACGACAATCCTATAGAAGTTAAAATTAATGATAATTGTGCTAAATAATTTCTTGTGTGGTTCAAGAAATCTATAGAGTGTGAGATCTTATGAGACTTCAGCTTTAATATTAGTAGAAGATCAGTCAAAAGATTTCATGCTGATTTTCTGATATTGGCTCTGGTACGTTTTCGTCTGGCCACAGGGGCGGATGGGCCCACCGGGAATCGGGAGATTTCCCGGTGCGCCGGTCCTACAAACGCCGGTCCTGGCGCCTACAGCACCGGTCCCACCAGCGCCGATAAGCGCAGCCGTGTTTTTTTTGTTTTTTTTTTGTTTTTTGTTTATTATATAAAAAAATAGTTTCAAAAATCTTTTCATTTTTCGTCATAGTCTTTAATTCCTTATATACCTTTTGCTAAGCAAAAGCGAAATTCAAGACCATTAATGCCGCTCCTATGTGCGGATTCATCCAGCTCTCTAAGATAGATGTTTGTGCTGGTAGTGACTTCCAAAATGGACGTATATTTCTTGTCTGGTGAAATGTTATTATGTTTGGAAAGATACTGAAATCCGAAGGGGATAAGTCTGGCGAGTAGGGTGCATGAGGCAGTAATTCTAAGTCCATTTTATCAATTATAGTCATTACTATAATAGATTTTTGACATTGCGCATTGTTCTGATGGAACAAAACTTGTCTTTTTTATCATCCAAGTCTTTTTTCCAATATTTTATGTTGCAGCTGATCAAGAAGCAAGTCAGCATATTATTGTCCATTTATTGTTTTATTCTTTTCAAAATAGTCAATAAATATAATGTTTTTTTGAAAATACCAATGCCATAACATTTCGGGACGATGGGACTACTTTCACCTTTTGGACTGATTCACCTTTCGCTATCAAAATCACAACCCCACTATAGGGTCAGGCTGCAAATTATTTATTCACATACTGTGTATGAGTAAGGTGGATTTAACAGAAATAAACGTCCTAAATCTCACAATGTTATTTATACGTTAATGTAAATGTCACAATGTTAATCTCACAACATTGATTTTACAATGTTAATAACACAATTTTTCGATTTTTTGATTTTTCGATTTTTCGATTTTTCGATTTTTCGATTTTTCGATTTTTCGATTTTTCGATTTTTCGATTTTTCAAATTTTCGATTTTTTTGATTTTTTTGATTTTTCGATTTTTCGATTTTTCGATTATTCGATTTTTCGATTTTTCGATTTTTCGATTTTTCGATTTTTCGATTTTTCGATTTTTCGATTTTTCGATTTTTCGATTTTTCGATTTTTCGATTTTTCGATTTTTTGATTTTTCGATTTTTCGATTTTTCGATTTTTCGATTTTTCGATTTTTCGATTTTTCGATTTTTCGATTTTTCGATTTTTCGATTTTTCGATTTTTCGATTTTTCGATTTTTCGATTTTTCGATTTTTCGATTTTTCGATTTTTCGATTTTTCGATTTTTCGATTTTTCGATTTTTCGATTTTTCGATTTTTCGATTTTTCGATTTTTCGATTTTTCGATTTTTCGATTTTTCGATTTTTCGATTTTTCGATTTTTCGATTTTTCGATTTTTCGATTTTTCGATTTTTCGATTTTTCGATTTTTCGATTTTTCGATTTTTCGATTTTTAGATTTTTCGATTTTTTGATTTTTCGATTTTTCGATTTTTCGATTTTTCGATTTTTCGATTTTTCGATTTTTCGATTTTTCGATTTTTCGATTTTTTGATTTTTCGATTTTTCGATTTTTCGATTTTTCGATTTTTCGATTTTTTTCGATTTTTCGATTTTTTAAGGGTGTTAGGTTTATTTTCGTTACGGAATTTCTTGATTCGGTCACCGCGCTCAAAGCCCGCGATAAAATCTATGCAATAGCTTAATAATGAAATAGTTAAAACTGATAAAATAAAAATTAATATTTTATAAATCTTGCAAAAAAATTAATATCTAATATTTACGCCAACCGGGAACATTTGTGATACCAATTTATTAGAAGCCTGAGAAAGCTCTTCTAGTTCTTGTATTGCATAAACGTTCCAGTCCGCAGACGTATATTTAACTCCGCTTCATACTAATACGAATAGGGTTGGATAAAACCTTCCACGGCTTTCGAGTTGAAAGTTTCAACGCCGCACCGCTGTACCGGTCAGAGTGGGGGGTGTTAGGTTTATTTATTATCTTCAAAATTCGAAATTTGCACTTTTCATCAAATATCTCAAATTAGGTCCATTTTAGGAAAATCATGTATAGAGACAAAATAATAGAGAATGACATCATAAGCAACTTTTAGCATGAGAGGAAAGTAAAAAATGGCCGTGGTTGTATTTTCTTAGGCAACCCATTTGCGGTATATATATATTTTTTTTGGCTTGGACTTTTGTCATTTAGCCAGTCACTTAATGAATATAAAAAATATAATATAATTAATACAATACAAAATAAATAGTAAACAACAATGGCAACAAAAATAACAATCCATCGGAACAAAATCAATCTGTCGCAACAAAACTAATCTATCATAACAAAACCATCCTATCACGTCAAACAAAATTTAAAAATATAATAATTTTCAAAGGAAATAGACAAGGACACCCGTTTTTCGTTCAGGGACCCATCAGGACATTTTTTTTTCAAGACACACTAGAAATAGGCCACAAAGTGGGTAGGGTAATATAACAAAGGTAATTAGGATATATAAAAAACAATAGGAATAGGAGTTTCTTAACAAAATTAAGAGTTCCTTCTTATTTATGTTTATATATAATAATAATTATAGTAGCTTCTTTTTTTACCTATGTAATTTTTTTGTAAAAAAATATAGTTTGTTTTATATTTACCAATTATAGTAAAATAATTTGTGGTTAATTTATTAATAAAAAAAATAAAAATCAATAATTTTTTATTTTTTTTGCTGGACCGGCCGGCGCGGCGCCGTTTTAATTGACTTCCCGCGCCGGTCCAAGTGGTCCCATCCGCCCCTGTACTGGCCACCCTGTATAAATAACAAATAATTTAGTGATTCTACTTTGTCTGCCTTAGTCAGGTAAGCGGACTGACTGGGTACAAAGATACCCTGTATATTTTTCCCAATTTCATAATGCCTATTGTTCAACGTTATTTATTATTTATTAAACACACCTGATGACTGGTCTAATCTAAAACGATATAATCTAATGACGTTTTAATAACCTCCAGTTAAAGTGAAAAGTTGTAAATTACAAAATCAAATATTGTGTTCTAGTTGAACACCAACATGTTAAGATACTATAATCATTTTTTAACGTTTAATAAAACAGTAGGTACGTGTGGTAAATCTCATTTCTAATTTTAAGAATAATTCTGCAAAAGTGTAGGTACTCTTAAATTGTATTAGTGCTAAAAAGTGTCGTTTGAAGTGTTATGTTATAACAAACATTAAAGATATTAAAAGTTGAATGAAATGTTAATAAAAGTAAGTACTATTAATAGTTATGGATAGATGTGGATTTGGATATCAAGACATGCAAATCTTTTTTGCTAAAAAAACATTATACCTAAATGTTCACATATTTTTTATACAGGGTATTAGTATATATGACCGACAACGCTCTACCATGAATTTTGATTTAGAAACATGAACCCTTAAAGAGCTTAGTTACCGAGATATAAGGTTAAAAGTTTTAAATCAAAATTCAAAATTTGCAATAAATCAAAAACGTAAATATTTTTTTTTAAATTTATTCTAACAAGATCTTGTCAAATATAAGATCTATTAAAAATTTGACACGTGCTTACTAGAAATATTATTATTATTAGAAATATTAAGTCGTTACAAATGACTTAAGCATAGTTTTGATGTAGCCCATAGGATACTTTGCCAACTCAGTGGTTAAGGGTCCATGTTCCTACCAAAAAACGAGAGCCCTCCTGTAAAATCTTGCTACAAAAGTAGTAGAAAGTTTAATCGTGTTAACCAAAATAATAAATGTATGCCAATAAAATTATAATTTAAATAAAGTATTTTTTATCCTGATAGAGGGTGCTAAAACTAAAAGTACAGCAATAAAATATTGCTAAATTCATGACAAAATTACCTTTTCAATGATATATCGTACTTGATACTTACCTATTTAAATTGTGTTTGTTAGAGTGGAGAGGAGGGAAATGACGTATGACAGTTGAGGCTCGTGACTATCGATAATCAAATTATCATTTGACCAGATATTGAGTTAATTAACTTAGCTGATTATTATCAATTGACCCGATACCAAAAGTTGTATTCGATAGATTATATATATAAATAGAGGTTTTGCTTTACTTTTAAGAATCTAAAACTTTTCTAGTATATAGTAGAAATTTATTCTATACGTTATTTAGGTACTGCAAAATCTATAGGAAAGTATGTAGTTTTAAATATAAAAATTTATAACGGAAACATATTTAGTGTATTTTTTTTACAAATATATTCTCAGTGACTTGTTTTTGTGAATGAGTTTTACACTTGTAATAAAAATATTAAAGTTATGTATATTGTCCATTTACTACACATAGCAAATTGATAGACAATACATATCACTATTTGACATTCTTATTAAACTCACTAATTTAAAATTGACTTTAAACTAAGTCACTACACACAGAATTGTTTGAAAGCAGCCATAAGGTATAATTTATAATTTATTTATTAGATACTATAAAAAAATTAATAGTAGTTACATGTAGAGTTAAGACAAAAGAAATTTAAAAACAAAAACAAAACAAACCTTTATATCTAGTGAACTTAATTTAGTAGCCCTCAACTTTCTTAGGCTAACATTAAAGATATCTATTTGGACCTCGCTAAGAAATTCATTGGTAACAGTCCTTGTTGAAAGGAGATATACTACTTGGATCTAAACTAAATAATTTTTTGTTACTTGGGATTCTTAGATTAATTTTTGCCTCATTAAAATTTATATAGTCAATCAAATGACAATCTCTGTACTTAATATTATTTAAAATATATAGCTCAGCCTGTTGCTTTCTTC